TTTTTTTTTTTAACCAACACTTGGAGATAGCTCTCATATTACGTCATTGCTCTAACCTTTTACTAACTAATATATGACCTGCAATCTTTGACCATACCAGTGCACCTTAAGCTGTTAAAGTGAACAGGATGAGCAGAGAAGCATTAACACTTAGCGCACTATACGGGATGTCCTGGAAGTGATTGCACACCCATTTTGAAATTGCAACCCCATAGACCTCAGTCAAATAAGTGCCATATTTAATTTTTGTCTGCGAAGGATAGAACTACAGTGAGTTCAATGAATTATACTGTTCTTTAATATCAATCTGATTGTTCGGCTGACGAAATGTCTTGATCTAATACCTTAAGACAGTGCGTGCAATTGTAAAGACTGTAAATCGATCCCTCACAACCTCGTTTTCACATGCATTCAATTTAATATGGCTTCTAACCTGACCAAGGTTTATTACGGTTGCCTTTCAGAGCAGTGCTCTGTTAGTGGCTCTCACTGTTCGGATTATTTCTTGTCATGTTAGGACCATTGGAGGTGTTTATCCGCCCGAAAAACCAGAATGAATGATCTCATCATGATTGATCTCCCTTCTTTGAGACTGCAATTTCACAATATTGGTCTTTTGTTAGTACTTGCATTCAATTAAGTAAGAAAATAAAAGTTCCTTGTGTCAGGGAATGAATATAAACTGAGATCTAGATCTGAAAAATGATTATGAGATATTGATGAAACACAATAGGCTTGGAATATTGTTAGCTAAAATGCCTTTATATATATATATATATGAAGAGTTCAGATGCAAAAGCCTCTAAATGCCATTTGAAATTTTCTTCTTTAATGATGATTTTTATCAAACTTGTATATTTAAGTTCAGTAATTTCACTTAAATGGCAATGAAGATACCTATTAATTGTCATTTAAGTGAAATTACTGAACTTAAATATACAAGCTTGATAAAAATGGTCATTTTAGAAGAAAATTTCAAATGGCATTTAGAGGCTTTTGCATCTGAACTCTTCATATATATATATATATATATATATATATACATATATGTTTATATATGGCATGAAAAGAACCCTTGCTTTTGGTGTCAAACGAAAACATGACAAGGCCCGTCACTGAGGACTAAAGCTCCCGTTTTGATGTGTACAGTAAGTCATACCTCTGCTGTCTGTTTCACAAATCTAAAGCATCTCTTTGCTGAATACTCATGGCTCTGTGCCAGACTGTGTTTACTGACTTGATGTATATGGTAAATTAGCACTGTGTCTCCTTCCAAAACAAAGAAGGAACCAAGAATTAATTGTTTCCTAACTTTCTTTACATGTATCATTGTGCAAAAAAAGTGCTGCTTAAAATGGCATTAGATAACCATATTTCTATATTAATATTATGTATGTACAGTATATATTTACAGAGTTGTAAGTATATGATTTAGAAATCACTCTAAGGTACTAGCAGAGTTTACAAAAGGGATTCTAGATCTGTGCTAGATGTCAAACAGGAGTGCAGAACACACATGTGATCTAAATGCTCTTTCAGTACTTGTGCTGTATATGAATTTGTTTTTACTGATTCCTCAAAAAAACAACAAAAACAACGCTCTTTTCCCTCATAGAAACTTCCAGTGTGTCACGTGTCCTCATTTCACCAGCAATGGCACTCAGTGTAAAATGAAACTGATATATGGGGGAAATGGCTCGTTTTGAGGGGTAATTTGGGTATCTAAATGGTTCATATCAGTCAGCAGCAGTGGCACTTGATAACCCCTAGAGGGCAGAATTATGCCTTATTTGACTAGTCAGCACACAGTCATAGCCATTTTGATGAGAAAAGGCCACATTTTTTAATTAATCAATGTATCATGGTTTCTGAAAAGAGCAGTTAAACAGCACAACTTTGTAATAGTAAGAAATGTTTCTTGCAGCACCAAATAAGTATTTTAGGATGATTTCTGAAGGCTGGAGCGATTATGCTGAAAATTCAGCTTTGCCATCACAGGACAGGAATACATTACATTTTAAAATAAATTCAAAGAGAAAACAGTTATTTTAAATTGACGAGTATAAAGGAAGACCCTCTAGCCAATGAGTTTTCAACAGTGCTCTGGCTTTGAGAAGATTATGTTATTGATCGTCTGGCCGTGGTGCTGACAGCTGTGTTTTCCAAGTGAATTCTGAAGCAGAAGAGAAACCTGGATGAGTATTGATCATAGCTGATGTCCGCTTTCTCTACATCTGCAGAATTCAAGCCCATACACTCTAATGAGGCCTGAGGAGAAATAACAAGCCTTTGTATTCAAATCCTGAACTGAATCTGTCACACAATACAGAGAGTAGCCGTGAAGCAGACGTATTCCTCGGGGAGTCTGTTTTGTTCCTTGTGTGCAATAAAATCACTTTTCATTTAGGAAAATGCAATCTAATTTCTAAAAAATAAATAAAAGGTTTTGGTTGAAATAATACTAGTGCTGTCATCGATTAATCGTAATTACTTGCATCAAACTTAATGTTTTGTAAAAAAAATATATATATAAATACATACCACATATATGTGTTATATATATATATATATATATATATGTGTAAATATTAGGGCTGGGAAACGGTTAATCGCAATTAAAATAAAAGTTTGTGTGTACATAATATATTATTTCGCATATATAAATACACACACATGCATGTAGTATATATTTAAGAAATATTTGCATGAATATACTGTATTATATATCCATAATTTATATTAAATATAAATATTTTATATATTAATAACACATTTTTCTTAAATATATACATGCATGTGTCTGAATTTTTATATACAAAATAATTATACACAGTACACACGTATTATGTAAACACAAACTTTTATTTTGGATGAGATTAATCGCAACTAATCGTTGCACAGCCCTAGTAAATATATATTTACAAACTTTTATGTTAGATGTGATTTTTTGCGATTAATCGATTTGACAGCACTAAATAATATCAATCAATAATAATTATTGCTATTACTGCTAATAATAACGATAAATTAATATTCAAGGTCAAGGTTTATTTATTAAGCACATTTACAAACAGTCACTACTGCCCCAAAGTGCTGTACAAGTAGAAATAACAAAAATGAAACACAATAAATATTAAAAAAAAAAACATTTAGAAACTACTATTCGAAAAAAATATTTTAAAACAGACAGCAATTAATAAAAATTTCACAACTCAGCTGATTAAACGCCAATGCAAAAAGGTGAGTCTTTTAGTTTAACATTATCAAGTTTAATATTATCATTAAACGTTTAATACATTATAGAATTTTTATGAATAAATATGTCAATGGCAATTTATTTGAGTTTACTGATTTTTTTTTTTTTTTTGCCAAAGGTGACAGTACCGTCTTGCCCTACAAAAGAACTGGAGGCTAATTTGGGCAGCATAGTTCACTATCGCAGCATAAATAGTAAATTCCAGCTGAAACAACATCTTAGCTCGTTAAATTAAGTGGCCAAATTATTCAGACCTCTTAGGCCTTCAGTGTTTGGAGGCGTGGAGCTAATAGGCCAGTTCCAATCCTTCACCAATAACCACAGCAACCGCTCCAAGCGCAATGCTCAGCTGCACAAACCCGGTTACCATAGTGACAGGGCCTCCGTCATTCCCAATCTTTTGACTGTATTGTGGAGGAGAATTGCATCTGTGTGAGCAGGGGGAGTCTTGCACAGGAAATCAGGTCATTGTGTGTGTTTCTTTTTTATTATTATAGCTAATATAATAAGGACGGAGAGTGAATAAAATAATCTATGACCTTATTTTTAAATTAACTAAGATCATGAGTTGTTGTTTTTGTTGTTGTTGTTGTTGTTTTTAAAGAAAGACATCCCTGTTTTTGATATGGTAATTGGAAGGGGCTTTGAATGATGTTTTCAGATGGTCGAAACCATGCAGCTTTGATGATAAAAAATAGATTGTTTTATGATCTAAGTGTTTTGTAGTTATTGAATACATTAGACAATGATTGACACTCCCATATGAGATGATGTCATATTTGTCTTTGAGCTTTGCACAATAATCCTCCCCCTTCACAAAAGACCCACTACTGTTACTTTCTGCTCTCTCCTCCTTCATATTAACCATTAATGGACTCACATGGTTTGAAGTCTATTAGACAAAGCCGTGCCACATGCATACAGCCAACAAATGAACCAAACTATATCAAATATAATGTATTAAAAGCATGATAGAATTAACCATTTTAAAGCAGCCAGTAGCAATAATGCAAGTACACTTGCATTTGTATTTTAGTCACGCAGCTTCAAGCACAGAAACACATTTCTGAGTAAATCTGGCCACATGGAAAGGAAGCTTTACTATATAAGGACTGGACATCCTGGGATGTCTAAGCTCTATTTATGCAGCGTGTGCCACACTCTTGTTGTTTCCCACAGTCATCTGCTCAAAACTGTGAAAGCATTGTCTGTAATCCACAAAATCAGATGCTAATCCCTGGAATATGGCAACCCAATTTTGAGCAGCTTGTATGCATGCAGACACATGCATGCAGGATAGCGTCTCTAACTGTATGGGTCTTTTTAAAGGCTGAGATGCCGATTAAGAGCCGTGAAGGATTAAGGGCAGCAGGGAGAGTGGGATAACACACAGGAGGTGTGTGTGACGTAAAGGGGCGGATGGGCAATACGATGACTAAACTAAACTGGCTCTTTATGCCCCATCAGCTCCTATAAATCACAGTCTTTGTCTTTGCTGCATTTCTGTCTCTCTGACTCACTGGATGGCCTACAGAGTTTGATAAATATTGGGGTCCAAAAGTCTGAGACCACATCGGCAATCTGTGATCAAATATCAAATATAGACCAGGAAAATTGAAAGTTTTAAGATTTTGAAAAGTTGAAATAGGATGCATCAATTAAAAGACAATACAGATGCCAATTTTTTTCATGGTATGTTTGATAACTGATAAATGCAGATTATAAAAATTCTACACTATTTTACAAAATATAAATTACATATAAAAAAAACTAAATTATTAATTGCTACAACACTGTAAAAAGTAATTTCAAGATGTTATCACAACATTTTTTCTTTTGTCAAATCAACTTAAATAATTTATCTAGTTCTGATGATTAAATCAATCTCCTTCATTGTATTAACTCACTTTTTCCAGTTCAATCAACTTAATTTTTTTTATTTTTAAACCAACAATATTTTTTTTTACAGTGATGTGGGTATCATAATTTATACATTTAAAAAATGGATTTTCAGATTACAAAATATTACATTTAAAAGTGCCATTAATAAATTAGTGTTTTAAAGATTAAGATCAGTAGATGATGGAAGAGTTCATCTAAAATTAAGGGAAATGAGCATGCTAAATGCACACACAAAAAAATTGGTCAATACAGATTTGTGTTATGTTTGATAACTGATAAATTGCAGATTGTCTAAATTTATTACAAATAAAACACTAAAATATATTATTTGAATTTGTTACGAGCAACTTTGTGCACTATTAAAGGCACAAAACGGCAATAACGAATATTTTACTGATATAATGCTTTATTTTTCTAATCCTTATTTAAACATTTACATTTATTCATTTAGCTGACGCTTTTATCCAAAGCGACTTACAATTGCTATATATGTCAGAGGTCGCACGCCTCTGGAGCAACTAGGGCTTAAGTGTCTTGCTCAGGGACACATTGGTGTCTCACAGTGGATTCGAACCCGGGTCTCTCACACCAAAGGCATGTGTCTTATCCACTGCGCCATCACCACTGCCAAACAAAGAAATGTTGACTTAAAATGAATAAAACCTTCCGTCACTAATACAAAGATCTGTAAAACAATTATTAAATTATATATAAGATTTTCAGCAGTTCTCTCAGTATTTTGGACCCCAATATGACCCTGCAACATTATTAATATACTGTGATCTTGCCACAATTCGATCTTTAATCTCAACAGGAATGACTGACAGCAAGGAGCCGGCGTGCATTTTGTTAGCACAGCTTTCTCATTGAAAATCCCTTGAGCGTGCTTTGAGGGGTAATGAGAGGGGGACCCTGCCAAGAGACCCCTGATGTGTCCGATGACAATCGAGTTCAAGGTGTGAATAAAGCTCTTCTCTCCATTACCTCTGTTTTTTTTCCTTCCTCATGAATATGGAAGGCTTTGGCTTATGGCAGATCGAGAGGAAGGGAGCGGGAGGGGTAGGGGGCGGAGAGAGTGAGGTGCATGAGGAGAGGAGCAGGAGGGGGAGGGGTGGCGAGGAGGATGATTCCGTCAGTTGCCGTAGCAATGCGCAGGCTCCGTGGAACAGGAGAGGATGGCTGCTGCCTAATGATCAGAGAACAACACTCAGCGCCTCGGCTGGCTTAGACAAGACGCCGTGGACTAGAGCAGCGTGCTGTGAGCGGCCATCACGACACAGTGCTTACGTGTGAGTGATGGGAATGAACGTGTCCGGTGTTGTTTCATCCCGACCAGGATTTGCTGATGGTGTTTTCGCTCTGACTGTATTGGAATAGCGGTTCTTTCTACCCAGATCTACAAGAAGAGATTCTCTTGCAGGTAATTTGTTCCTCCCTCTCTCTCTCTCTCTCTCTCTCTCTCTCTCTCCTCCATAACGCCATTGTTTTCCCGTTATTCCCTCTGGGAAATCGGGTAACCTTGATCTCCATCCGTTATGCATCCATCCCTTTCTTTTTTTTCCATTTTCATTCTGTACATATTTGTAGAAAAAAAATATTATTTTTATTTGTAAAATTGCACAATTTAAATATCCACCTCTATTTGGATAATCACAGCTATTTTCAAATCCATGTGGCCTAAAGAAATGTTTTAAAACGATCTACAATCATTACAGTGGGATGTTGTATTTTTTTCTCTGCCATGCTTTATGATGTGATCCGCCATATTTCTTCTCATCATGCCTCATCAATTAATCTTATCTTGTGACATGCTATATTCATTTTTCACAACATAGGTCACACCTGCCACAAACACTCACAAATTCATTCTGTAATCTAAATTTATCCTCTAAGTAGTGCATTTGAGAAATATCTCTTGCATTTATCAGCACAATGATAAATATAATGCACATTTAGATCACGTCATCCTCAATGGAGGTCGCACAGCAAAAGTGTTTTATTCCATTGCCATAGTTTGTGTTCCGTCGATTGATTTGAGGTCAATATGCTATTTACACTCCTGCTCAATTCCACCCCCTTCCCCAGGAATTGTGAATAAGGGCCTGCAGTTTATCACTCTAACATTGAATTACCTCTGTGCTTTGGTCATTGGATTTGGATGTTAAGGTTTTTTTTTAAACTGGTTATGCCCATAGGCACAGAATTATGGATGGCGGAAAAACAAATCAAACTAGAAAGTGGAAAAGGTCACGACCTTAATTCTGACAGAAAAACACATACACACTGGGGTAAAATAATATTGCATTGCTGACTAATGTTGGGGTATAAGCTTATGCAAGCCTGTTTTAAATGGATTTTTATCCTGCAGTCTTTTAGCTTTGACGTTAAGCCTGATAAAGCCGTTCGAGCTCATTCATGGGAACTGTCAGATCACAGGGTGAAAAAGGACGCATGAACTAATGTTATAATTACACTCAGACCGAACTTGAGAGAATCTTCATTCATGAAGAGAATGCAATAGCATCTGTTTTGGGCACGTAAAAACACTCATATTGTAATATTTAATTTGCTAAAATTAAATGTTAATATTTTAAATAGATATAGCGTATTATAAGGCACTAATGAATGCTGCTGTACATAGGCCTACTTTAGCATTGTTTATTATTATATTTGTTGGAGAAAGTGAATTGGAACGAGCAGTAGCTATAATTGCTGTTTGACTTCGGCTGCCTCACAGACCAGGAATTCATCGGGAAAAATCCCAGAGGTTCTGCTGAATCAAGCGCCATGCAAATTAAACACAATTACTTTCACTCTGCTTGAGCAAAATGCAGTCATTCGTGCCCCGTGCTTGCTTAGTGGAAGAGAAAGAAATGAATTTAACGAGATGTCATCTGAGAAAAGTTAAATTACACAAGTCTAAATGTTCGTAGTCAAATAAGCCGTACAAAATGTTCTTGACTCGGAGGAAGCCACTGATATATAAATACGGTTTTAGCTGTTTAAGATAAGTGAAAAACGGTGATGACATATTTCACTTTCAGCGTTTTAAATTTTAGACGGTGATTACATATTGACGTTTATTATATTTTTAATCAGGGATTGTTGCAGTGCCGACCTCCACGCGATCAAGAGGGCATCAGGATGGAGGCCCCTCTGGTGTGCCTGGATGAGGAATTCGAGGATCTGCGGCCCTGCAAGATGGAGGAGCTGGAATCAGAGCATCCTCCACGCCGGCCTCACAAAACAATCCCCCTGGCCCCGCTGTGCCGTGAAGACTTCTCAGAGTTAGAGAACTTCTCCGAGATGATGAGCTTCAAGTCCATGGAGGACCTGGTCAATGAATTTGACGAGAAGCTGAATGTGTGCTTCCATAATTACAACACCAAGACAGAAGGCCTGGCACCCGTACGGAACCAATCTCACGCCGAGGAGGATGAGGAGAGGCTTCAAGATGAAGAGTAAGCTAAATATTTTCTGTTCCACTTCCAGAATATTTAAAGGAACACTGTGACTTTTTTGGACTTTAGCTTATTCACCATATCCCCCAGAGTTAGATAAGTCCATACATACCTTTTTCATCTCTGTGCGTCTTGTTTGACGCACCCACCACTAGCCTAGCTTAGCACAAAGACTGGATGTAAATGGCTACAGCTAGCATAGTAATCCTAATAAGTGACAAAATAACGCAAACATTTTTCTATTTACATGTTGTGATTTGTATGGTCACAGAGTGTACAAATCACAAGGTCATATGAGACACAGCCATCTTTTAACCATATAAATATTGGGAACTATATTCTCAGAAGGCAGCACTGCTACTTGGGCGGAGTGATTACCGCAGCACCTGAGACGCGCCGAAGCCTTCTGAGAATATAGTTCCCAATATTTATACGGTTAAAAGATATTAGTGTCTCATATTACCTTGTTATTTGTGCACTCTGTGACTATACAAATCACAACATGTAAATAGGATTTTTTTTTGCATTATTTTGTCACTTATTAGGATTAGTGGGGGATACAGTGAATAAGCTAAAGTCCAAAAAAGTCGAAGTGTTCCTTTAACATAAATGCATGTAGGTAGAATAAATAATGAATTGTGCAGTTTGATGGAATTGGCTTCACGTTTTTAAGTATCACCAAATACATGTATGGATACTGTTATCACTGTGCTGATAAATATGCCCATCCAGCTGGCTCTCTCTGCCAGTCAAAGAGAGGACATGTCTCTTTGCCAACTGCCCTGTCAATCAAACTCTATAAAAAACACCCTTTGTCCATCACCAGCTCCTGTCTGCGTGCATGTGTCCATGGTTTGGCCGTGAATTATTCAGCAAATTTTTACACGCCTCAGTGCTTTTGTTTGTCCTGACTTGCCTGTGCTGGCAGCCTGTCACCATCCTCTCTTTACCATCAAATCTGCATCTCGCAACACAGGACAAAAAAAAAAAAAATCTCTTGGTCTAAATATAGCGCTCATGCATGTTAAAAAACATTCAAATATTGGAAGGAAAGAAAAAAGAGTATTTTTATAAAATATTTTTTTGGATGCTTTTCTTCAATCTGTAGCATTTTAAGAGAGAAAAACGAGCATGTCAAGTATTTGAGCATCTTAGTTTGTGCTGTAAATATGTTGTTGATTTATGATTTGTTAGCATGTTATTTTCTGCGTTTCCCGCTGTGATGTGTTCTCATTGCCCGTGGCTTTTGTTCTTGGCTTGAATTCAGACACAAATCTGTCCTTGCGCTAGAATTCAGCCTGTGGCTGTGCATCTGACGAATTATAGAAATAAGCCTGCAGAAATTCCCTTTTTAAACCCGTGGTTGGTAAATATTCTGGTCTGGATGAGATGTTGCTTTTAAATATCTTCAGACAGTAAACAGAAACTCCTTCAGACAATGACATATGGGTAGACGATGAGTCTGTACCAGTTTGGTGTTGTTGCAGGGCTGGAATGGAGGCTGGTAGGCTTGTGTCTGTATGCCCTCAGAGATCAGCACACTTTGAATGGCCACTTGTTCCCTGGATGACTAGACAGAGGCACAAAGAAAGTGTGGAGAGTAATTTCGGCATGTAGATGAATAGAAAGAAAAGAGAAAGAAAGCATTCACTAGCCTAGTTATATAAACATGAAAAGCAGCTACTTAAAGAGCATCATAAACATGTTGTAGCATCACCGTTCAGCACAAACGCATATAAAATGAATGCTGTACATTGGATCTGTCTCTACATTCCCAGTGCTAACAAATCATGATTAATACATATCCATGGAATTTCTTGTTAAAGAATCTATTATTCATATCTCATTTGTTTCATATTCACTGTGTGTCGGTTGGAACATTGTGTATATAAATGTCCATGCATGTGTCTTTGTAGTGTGTGGGATGCTCTGACTGACAACTACATCCCCTCCTCTGTGTCCAGCTGGGACGACCCCGCCTCAGAAACACTGAATGGCAACCTCTCAGATCAAGAGGTAAACATCTGCTCTGCTCTGATAACTTTCATGCTGTTGACATGATAATAGATTTGTATTTCCTGGAGGGTTACTGTATAGATTAGTGTTTTACATCCATATGTTATGGACAACAAATTATTTACCAATGCAGGCACAACCTTTTCTTTTAAATGGGCTATATGTAAGTATTTTGATGTATTAATAATCGCTTTTTATCGACAATCAGTAAACAGCTAGTAACAAAACATAAAAAACAAGACCTTTCCTGACTTATGTTGTTTATGAAAGCCTGTCGGCTGATTTTATGTGAAGGACGCTGGGAAAATCAAAAGGATGTGAACTTTACACGTGCTCCCGAGACGAGAGCCTCTCTTATGTTCAACAACAGCTTATACAATGTTCAGGATAATATCGAAAGAGCTACATATATTCTCAAATATACTTTTTAATCAAACTATCATAACAGGGTTATGATCCCTCATCTGTCGACATGATGCCGATGAATTGCAGAACTGGTGCAAACGTATCCACATTAATATGATTAAATTATTTCTTAACTACTGCTTTCTCACCGTTTATTTTGTTATTGAGAGGAAAGTGCGTACCACATATTTACAGTACATATTCATCTAAACGTCGCTCTCAGCAGCATGGATATTCATTAACAGTATATATCGAAGCATGGGAAGTATATCAAGGCATTGAATTACGTCAGTCTCTTTTATGTTAAGAGCACCAGCAATAAGTTGCTGGCTGCAGTTCACTTAACGGCCACAGGTGTTGCTAAAAACAAGGGTTTCTAATTCTAATCTACATATAGCCCCTTTAATACTTAGCTATATTTTGATATTGTTATTATTATTGTTGTTATGTTAATAATATCACTTCAAATTGTAGTTAGGGTACTTTAATATTAATATTAATTATATTAATGGAACTGAATTAAGTTGCAAAGCAATTACCATTGAAACACTGGCCAACGAAAAACCCTTCTTGAAATAATATCATTCTCCTTAATGGAAAAAGCATTTATTTCCTCAGAGCAAATGACTGCAGCACTATGAGAGAGTACAGCTTTGCCCTCTTGATTCAGGGTGTGGTATGTTTATGCCAAATGGACAGCAAATACAGTCACTGGCTGCCAAAAACCTAACCTGATCTACTTTCTCTGACATTCAGCCTGTCACAAGCTTTGCAATAAACAGTTTCTATATTACAAAATATCAGACATTTCCGTATTTTCTTTTATATTCTGTCATCATGATGACACATTTACAGTCTTCATAAATATTATGCTAATTATTACCAACAAATGCAATCAGTCAGATGACTCTTGGTAATCTAATAATGTTAGCTTTTGATTAGTTTTAGCAGTGGAGCACAGGAGATGAGAAGTCAGGTTTTTGTTGTACATCAATGTGGATCAGACAAGCTGTCAAGCGTTCTATAAACTACATTTAAAAGCACTCTCCTCAGCACATTTGCAATGAGTGTAATGGAACTATATGGAGCCATTACTCTCTACCATCTCGTCCTATTGATACTGCTGATGCTCCTAAACCTGTTGTGAAATATTTCATTGTCTTGACTTTAAAGATACATGAAAAAGATGAGGATGAGATGAACGAGAAGAATGAAAATGCCAATTGTCTGCGTGATGAACCTCTAATTACAGCTGATCAGGTGAGCCTAACTGAACAGATGTGTTGCACTGATATAAAAAAAAAAAAAAAAACCTGGATGATTAGATGCTTGTTTACAGTAAAGAATTATGTCTTTTGTGATTTATCTAAGGAGTAGTTCACTTTAAAATAAAACTTTTGCTGATAATTTGCTCACACCCATGTCATCCAAGATGTCCATGTCTTTGTTTCTTCAGTCGAAAAGAAATTAAGGTTTTTGATGAAAACTTTCCAGGATTTTTCTCCATATAATGGACTTCAATGGGAACCAAACGATTCAAGGTTCAAAAGACAGTTTCAGTGCAAACTTTTTTTTTAAATGAGCGATCGTTTCGCTTGATAAGACCCTTAATCATCGTCTGAAATCGTTTAAAGCCCTTTGAACAGTTTGCAGTTTGCACTGAAATGGACCTTGAACCGTTTGGTTCCCACTGAAGTCCATTACATGGAGAAAAATCCTGGAATGTTTTCATCATCAAAAACCTTAATTTTTTTTCGACTAAAGAAAGAATGACAAGGGGGTAAGTAAATTATCAGCAAAAGTTTTTTTAAAAGCAAACTACTCCTTTAATTAATACTTCAAAAGGTAAATAAATTAGTTTGCCAGCATTTTGTGGGAGATAAATTTAGCCTAATACTGTGTTTGATGTTGACATCGGTCAGGTTTACACTTGAACAGTGGCCTAGTTTTAAAGCTTTGCCAGATTTAAAATCAAGAGTGCTATTTATGGGATTGCATTTATTCATTGCATACAAAGCTTAAATTCAAAACTACTTGTGTCCTTAAAACGTCCACTGAAATCTGTCATTTATTCCCTCACCAGGTGATTGAGGAGATTGTGGAGATGATGGAAAACTCACCAGATCCTGGAGAGACAGAGGAAGAGGAGGACGATGATATCGGGGTCTCTTCCTCTCAAAGCAACCCCTCCTTACTGGAGGAGATCCGCATGCTGTCTCAGGCCTCCAACAACAACTGCTCTTATGAAGGTGCCCAGATAAACCTGCAATTAATAAATACATTCTTCAGATGACACTATACATTAAGATGGAATAAAAAGTAATAATACTGCTTTAAATTTAGTCGGTGGATAGGTAACAGATTATGTTTATCTTTATGGTTAAAATACAAGAAACAGCATGAGGTTCATCAGCAAAAGTCATCATTATGAGAAGTACCTTTTATTACAAGATCAATGTAAATATGCTTTACATCACCCCAGGAATAGATTGAGAAAGTACTTTCTATTTTAAACCATGTTGTTTCTGATTGATCCCACGGACATACAGTATGTAACAGATCATGTTTTTGAAACCAAAGATGCAGTGAAACAAAAGTGAATGAAAAAAAAAAGCCCATGTCGACTGAAAGCAACACTAAAGAAATATTACATTAGTCACACTCACAGTGTGAGAGTCAAGTGTTGCTCGCTTTGAAACTGGATTTTGTTATGCCGTTTGTCATGCAGGTCTGAGGCTGATGCCGAGCTCGGCGCTGCTTGACATCTTGTGTCGGGTGGAGGCGGCAATACGAGAGTATTCGGAGGAACTGGTGACTCAGCTGGCCCGGAGGGACGAGCTGGAGTTCGAGAAAGAGGTGAAGAACACCTTCATCACTGCTCTAATGGAGGTCCAGAACAGACAGAAGGAGCAAAGGGAGCTGAGCAAGCGCAGGCGTAAGGACAAGGCCATGAGTCTACAAGGATCTACCCGCTCCGAGAAGATTGGGAGCATGCCTGCGAAGGTGAGTGTGTTGAAGTAGATGCATGATGTTTACCTCCATTCAGTCTCCAGACACAGACATCTCTCTCTCTTTACGGTTAATGGACCCCGGCCCATCACTCTTTAGCTGCACTTAGCACTTACTGGACGAGCATAGGAAGCATTCCCCTGCAGAATGAGCTGTGAAGGCAATACTAGCTTCCTCTTACTGTAATTCCATTACATCATGCAAGTAACTGCATCTCTGAGTCCTCAACGTCCATGTTCTCACAGGGATGGGATGATCATTTTAGTCATTTTGTACACAGAGACTAGAGTTAGTTAATATGGCAAATTGTGAATCTCAAATTGAATGCATCATTTTCCTGAACCCGGATTTTAGCCGATAAAAGTGAAAGGTTGTTGTTGTTTTTGACAAAACTGGGTATAGAAAAAGAAAGTAGTGTGTAAAAAATATATTTTTTTGGCCATTATTATAAACTGATAAATATTTTCATTTCATGACTGATAAATGGCTGAAATTATTAGTTAAAAAAATGTATTTTTTTAAAAACAATTTTTAAAATTGATATTACATTATTTATTTATATATATATATATGTATAAAGGGTTGGTTCACTTTGAAATTAAGTTTTGATATGTTTTAGCTTACCTCAAGGGCATCCAAGATGTAGGTGTCTTTGTTTCCGCAGTAGTTTCAATTTTGATATTTTTAGGTCAAACCGTTCGTGTCTGTCAGTCATATAATGGAGGTCTATGGTCACCACCTCAAAGAGCATGCACAGAGAAGTCCAGATTAAACATGATTTAATGACTCGTAAATGTAAGTACACATTGTCGGCCTAAGACATGAAACGAGCAGTTTGTGTGAGAAAGTATCGTTTTTACCTCATGTAACCACAGCCACGTCCAAGTGATCTCAAGGCGCGGGCGCTTTGTGGCTGTGGTAACAAGAGGTAAAACCGATATAAATACTGTTTGTTTTCTCACACAAACCGCTCGTTTCATGTCTTAGGCCGACAATGTGTACTTACATTTACGAGTCATTAAATCATGTTTAATTTGGACTTCTCTGTCCATGCTCTTTGAGGTGGTGACCATAGACCTCCATTATATGACTGTTATCAAAATATAAAAATTGAAAATACTGTGGAAACAAAGACACCTACATCTTGGATGCCCTTGAGGTAAGCTAAAACATACCAAAAATTAATTTCAAAGTGAACCAACACTTTTAATAGTTTAAAATGCTTACCAGATCGTTTCTCCAGCTTGCACTGTACTGTATGAAAACAGAAACATCTGGTACTAAATATTTTATATTTGAACGTTTTCCAGCGCTTCAGCATGGAGGGTCTGTCCAACATCCTGCAGACAGGGATCAGACAGACCTTTGGGTCCTCAGGGACAGAAAAACAGGTGAGGATGAGCATTTCAGTTAATGCGCTGGATTAAACATATATACTGTAGGCATCTGATCGTAAACTGTTTTTCTTGTGTGTGCTCAAAAGTACCTAAACACAGTCATCCCATATGAGAAAAAAGTGACTCCTCCATCTGTCGACGACTTGCAAATGCTCACAAAAAGTAAGTGTCCTGAACTGCATTAATAATTCAACTAGCTCAAACAGTATGACCCTTACAACGCCAAGCTCATGGGTTTGAGCTTTAAATGATAAAAATGTTAATATGTACAGTGAAGGCTTTGAATAAAAGTATAAATAAAATGTAATATTCTTTTGCAGTTCTGTACGCCATGAAAGAAGACAGTGAGAAGGTCCCGACCCTCCTGACTGACTATATATTAAAAGGTAAATCTAAAATATTTTCAGTGTAGTGTAGATATAAGAAATATATACGTATATATATATTACTTTTGAGTACATTTGAGAAAATAATGCATTTAATTCAAAAATGAATTCCCAGAGTAATACTGTTTTCCAGCTCTAAATATTCTCATAAACAAATATATGTATGCAGAACATTACTTTATCATATCTCCATCCTGCAGTTCTGTGTCCTACCTAAAGTCTTGAGCGTGATCTGCTGTTGGTGAGACTGTGGAGAGACCAGGTGTCTTCGTGTCTCCTCTCTCAGTTCTCCATCCCGGCTGCATGAGCTCCCTTACCCATTATCAGCGAGGGACCCTGAACATCTAACCATCCTTCTCTTGCTTATCTGATGACCTTTGACCTTGCTCATCTCACTGCCCTTCCTGTATTCACATATCCACGACGTTCATACCACAGCGCCTGGTGCTTTACATGTTTTCTACTATGTACGTTACTTCAGGCCAAAAGCCATATGGAACGTGTAAGCGTAACAGGTGACCTATAATCGGTTTAACTCTACGATCAGGTACTATTTTTATTTTGGAAAGATATGCATAACATACGACATTTTACTTGATAATTCACATCCGTTCTGAACACAGGTGACGATGAGAAGGGCATTATTCACAATCTTCTGAAGGCGCAGGTGCATTGATTTCGAGAGCACATTTGAAAAATAATCCATCCAGACATTCTGCTTTTTGCCGTTTTAGTATTGTGGCTTAATTTCAGCGGCGGTTGGTTGAAGATACAGCATGTTTTAGTGTTCTACATTAATGCCAAGTTATAGGGAGAAACCTTGTGACTCTTCTTTTTTTTCATCCTATGTATGAATTAATTCTAGTTCTACATAATGTGGTTTCTTTGATGATCCATTTATCTAATAAAACTTTTTTTTAATTAACTTTAACTTTCACTCATGACTTGTGCTTCTTTATATATTTCTTATTTACTAAGGGGCATGGAGGAATGTGAAGTATTGCTGAGTTACAGTTCCAATAAATGTCAAACCCTGTAAAAAACTGAATGACTGATTCATTGTAATACCGCAACAATCCACTAGAGGTCAGTCATACGCAGATGATCGACAACAGGAGGATTTTTGCTAACAAGTGTTGGTTTGTTAACCCTAAAAAACAGGTGACATCAAAACTGCTGATAATACCATTAGCCTAAGTTACTCATTATAAAAAATAAAATAAAAAGTTTCCACAGAGTCATGGTGCGTGTGTGAGTGACTTTTCTAGATCTGTTACATGATTATAACATTACATTATAATTTATAATTATTTACTAAGCGGTGTTTAGTCCCCTGGGACTGATATTCAGGGATATTTTACCTTTATGAAGGGATTTTTTTTCTAATTATTACAAACTGTAATGTTCATTATTTTGTACTTTTGTCTGTTGAATATTTTTACAGTCTATATGGTTGAATCATTTTCTAACGTTAATTGAGTCATTTAATTTAAATTATTATTACAGTATTTATAACGATATTTGAAATATAAAAACAGAAATTATTTTTGTCTCATGTAACGTAAATCTTGACTTCATTTGTGAAGATCTAGGCTAACTTTACTGCCATTTACGTTAGCTTAGCAACGTTAGCAATGTTGCTACTGACCCTGCGAAAAAAACGTAGCTATTTATTAATACATAACGTACTATTCTTGATATTTTCCAAATATTATTAATAACGTATCACTATAAATGTCATAAACACTAAGTTAGTATCTTACCTTCCTCCGTCTGCTTTTTAGAAGAGTCAACTGAACTGAACCTTAACCTTTCTTGAAAAGTGCGCGAAAAATAATGCGCATGACTGTTTTTTATCGTGCCTTTTTATCTTTAAAATTACATTTTTTTGTATTAGACAGCCTCTTAGCGTTAACAGCGATCTTCTAAACTTCTTAACATTAATTAACAATTAAACAAATACGCATATGAACTGTAAGATACAAAATATATGACCAACTTTACTACGTATATCCTATTTCCTTGTAAATAAACAGCTAGACTGAATTTTTACAGCCAGTTTCTTTTATTCAAAATATGAATACAAAGTGTTTTCATGTCCATAGATGGTATATGTCCTATATTACAGAACAATTTGAGGTTATCCAGTCTGCAGATGACAAAAATATTGACATGGGTACAGGCAATAAAAAATGTCTAATTAAATAAAAAATATTTTGTCCTTGGAAAAACAGTCAGTTGCACAATTGAGTACATAAAATTGTTTTGTTTGAGAAAAAAGAAGAAAAATACAGCAGTGTTTAAATAGCATTATGTGGTAAATAATAAAAATAATAATAACATGACTTTTGCCACAGGCTATTTACAGATGTGCTATTGTGATTCATTGTCTGCTATAAAGTTGACATGAACTGCCATTCACAACCCCTTTTACTTCCACATCTACAACCACTGAACAGGAAATCTTTGGTTTTATATCCAGTATTCCAGATAAATCAAACTTATTTGCTGCCATTAAATAACCACAGACCTAGAATGAGAAATAAATACCTTATTTACATAAAAGGTAAAGGAATTAGTTTTTTCTTGTTTACATAATCAATACAATATACTATAGAAGTTGTAAAATAGAATCATGGGGTACAGAACCACAATATAGATTAAGATACCGCCAAATTTTACACTTCTAAATTGAAAAAATGCTACCATATATCTCTAAGAGATAACAACACAGGTTTGTTTTGAAACATATTTGGCCAAAAAACATTTAAAGGCAAATATAGCAACTTAATATGATGCCACTTTAAGTGAAGTCCTCGGCAATTCCTTTAACCAAAGCGGCTATAAAAACATATGCTATTGATCGTGTGTAAACATAATTATCAATAAGGAGTGTCTAAATAACATCGAATAGACCTTTCATTTGTTTTCATCAAGGCAAGTTAGCATCTTTAGTTTGCAAAAGAACAATCAGCAAAGCAGTAACAGCAATGAGAACATAAAAATAAAATGTTTTTCATGAAAAGAAATGCAAGCAAACATCAGTGTCTTTTTGTTTGCCTTTTAACAAGTTCCACTTTACAGAAAGGAGAGGCTTTTCAGTAATACTTTGAACAGTAAAAAAAACTATTAATTTATAAAACAATACAATGAGCATTTTTATATTTGTTTGTTTACGTTGCTTATATATAAAAAATAAAATAAAAAAATGTAAATAAAGAAAATTACACCATGCTGTTTCAAAAAGCAAAAAGCTTATTGGATCCAGTCCATCCTTTTCAACGTGCTTGAGTTTGTAGGTCCGCAGACGTGAGGTCTTCAGCAGAAGTGATTGGTCTTACACCAGAGAGCCGGCCTGGTTTTGCGCTGGCACCATGATGGGTACCCCTCCCATGCGGGAGATATTGGCCGCAGTTACGGTGGTGGGCAGCACTGGCGGACGTGGAATCTGAGGCTGGGCAGAGGCTGTCCGGGGGACTGAGGTGTGATGGGAGCCTCCGTTGGTGCTAGGGGGTCCCAATGGCCCGCGGGGCAGGGTAGGGTTGGTGTTGTAGCCCGGCAACGTGCGCTCCAGGCTGGCGTCTGCCGGAGGCTGTGCGCGGTAGGCGGCGATGCTGCCCGTGGCCGTGGTGATTGATGCGGTGTCGGAGTGAGGGTAATGGTGGTGATTGTGCGGGTCTCGCGGGTAAGAGCTGGTTTGAAAGGAGGACAGGGTGCCGTTTTTAGAGATGATGTCAGATCCAGTGCCACTCTTGGCCCATGAGACGCGTTTGGGCGCCTGAGCATCCTCCCTGTAACGCACAAAAACACTTAGGTGTCTACACAAGTTATTATCATGTTCTTGGACGTACTGGTGTTTTTACTCATGTCCCTGTTGTATATGTGTGTGGGCACGTGTGTTTGTGTTCTCGTTCTCCACACATTTAGAGTGCGACAGGTGTGGTTGAATATACTAGCAGTGAGGAGTGAGGATATCCGTTCTTTGAGTTCCCCTCTCTTGCTTCAGAAATGTTTACGTGTGTGCCCTCTTAGCATTTGTAAAGCCTGCTAAGCCTATTTAACTGTGTCTTTGGCCTTTGTGCAATGCGCTACGATTACTTAAAGGGATAGTTCACCCTAAAATGAACATTCTGTCATCATTTACTCACTCTCAAGTTATTACAAACCTGTATGAATTTCTTTGTTATGTTGAAGATAATAGAATATATTTTGAAGAATCTCAGTAACCAAACAGTAGTGGGGCACCATTGACTATTACATACACTCTTAGAAGAAAAGGTTCTATATAGAACCTTAAAAGGTTCTATCAACGCTATGTATTTAGAACCCCTAAAAGGTTCTATACTATTAAAAAAAGGGTTCCTCTGGGTTCTATATAAAACCCTGGGGTTCCATACTTGATCAATAGAACCTTTTACCAAAAAAAATGGTTCTATATAGAACCATTTTGGAGTTCCATATATGAAGTGGGGGATAGAACCATTTCTGGTTTTAAATAGAACCATTTCTTCTAAGAGTGGATTATGGAAATCAATGGTGACCCACAACTATTTGGTTAGACATTTTTTCTAAATATCTTCCTTTGTGTTCAGCAGAAGAAAGAAATTTATTCAGGTTTGAAACAACTTGAGGCTGAGTAAATGATGACACAATTTAACTACACTCCTTGTGGAGAGTTGAATTGTTAAAACGGCATAAACTGGTAATTGTATTGAATCAAGTAAAAGTGCTATACTTTAAGGGTGCTAACTTCATAGGGAGTGGGTTGCCAATTTATTTAGCTATTAGGAAGGTAAAAACATGTTTTATTTTTCTTTGATTTAAGAAAGATGCATAATCCAAGTTAGAGGATTCATGTTTGTTATTTTGAACTCTTGTTTTTTAGATATCGTCCCCTTTTTTGTCTAAAATAAACTCCTACTTTTTGCTGCATTCAATTGCTTGTTGTGTTTGTGAGAGCAGACTTTAATACGCAACAATCAAATCAATAAATCGTAATTATCTTACTTGATTTCATTGGCCAAATCCTCCTCTGTCTCTTTCCGTCTTGTCCACATGAAGAAGAGGAAGAGAATGATCAGAATGAGAGCCACTATACAACCAACTGTAACACCAGCGATCATCCCAGCATTAGTTGCTGCACAAAAAGAACAGGTAAAGTTAATGAAAGACAGAATAAACAAATACATTACCATTCAAAAATTTGGGGTCAATACTATTTTTTTTTTTAAATGTTTTTGAAATAAGTCTTTTGTTATTTCAAAAATAATTATTGTTATTCAAAAATACAGTAATACTGTGAACTTTTATTACAATTTAAAATAACTGTTTTATATTGTATTTTTACAGAAAAATGTAATTTATTCCTGAGATGGCAAACCTGAATTTTCAGTCTTTGCGTCAAACAATCCTTCAGAAATGATTCTAATGTTTCCACAGTATTTTCAATTTTGATATTTTTAGGTCAAACTGTTCTTGTCTGTCAGTCATATAATGGAGGTCTATGGTCACCACCTTAAAGAGCATGCACAGAGAAGTTCAAATTAAACATGATTTAATGACTCATAAATGTAAGTAAACATTGATGGCCTAAGGCATGAAATGAGCGGTTTGTATGAGAAAATGAACAGTATTTGTATCGTTTTTACCTCTTGTAACAGCCACAAAGCACCCGTGCCCTCAGATCACTTGGACGTGGCTGTGGTTACAAGAGGTAAAAATGATATAAATACTGTTCGTTTTCTCACACAAACCGCTCGTTTCGTGTCTTAGGCCATCAATGTGTACTTGCATTTACGAGTCATTAAATCAAGTTTAATTTGGACTTCTCTGTGCATGCTCTTTGAGGTGGTGACCATAGACCTCCATTATATGACTGACAGACACTAACAGTTTGACCTAAAAATATCAAAATTGATAATACTTCAGAAACAAAGACACCTACTTCTTGGATGCCCTTTAGGTAAGCTAAAACATACCACAAATTCATTTCAAAGTGAACTATCCCTTTAATGGCATTTTAATGTAAATGCATTTACTGCCACTTTTGATTGATCAATTTAATGCTGAATAAAAGTTGACCCCAAACTTTTGAACGAGTTTATGTAATGACCAAACAGCAGTACATACATGTGATGACCTCCAGGTTGATGTAACAAGTCTCCTCTCCTGCAGAGTTGGATGAAGTGCACACGTATTTTCCTGACATATTACTGCTCAGATTGTTCAGTT